GTACAGCGAGTGGGGGGGGCTGAACCGGAACAGCGCCGAGTACAGGGCCAAGAAGGCCGAGGCGGCGGAGGTGCTGTGGAGGGCGGTGGAGCGGCAGATCCCCGACGTGCGGGAGCGCGCGACCGTGACGATGGTCGGCACGCCGCTCACGCACGAGCGCTTCCTGCGACGCGACGCGGGCACCTACGGCCCCTTCCTACGCGCGACCGACGGCCAGCTGCCCGGCCCAAAGTTTAGCGCGTGCGACGGGCTGCTCTGCTGCGGCGACTCGACCTTTCCGGGCATCGGCATGCCCGCAGTCGCGGCGTCGGGCATGCTCGCCGCGCACTCAATCCTGTCGGTGCGGCAGCACCTGCAGAATCTGGACACGCTGAAGCTGCCGCCGAAGTAGTCCGGTCGTTTTTGTTTCCGCATGGCACACATTGGGACATACATCATGTAGTTACTCGCTCAGTGCAGTATCTATTACCGTGTCCCCATAACTCCGAGTATAAGTAGACGGCCGCGGGCCGCGGCCGGGCAGCGTTTTTTTAGTTTACATAATAAAATCCGTCTCCAACTGCAGCGTGCGGGGGGGGGCGGTCTCCCGTCCGCGAGATCCGACCCCACACAGACACACACAGTGCACACACACACACGACCTCTGGGGGAGGCGAGGGCCCTAGGGGGTACCCATGCGGGGGGGAGATGGGGTCCCCCAGCCCGCCGCAGGCGTCGATTTAATTGGCATTTTTTTCTTTTTCGCGCGATTTTTTACTTGTTTTCATGGGAATTCGGCGTACTTGCGGCCATGCTATCACGCCTTGCGACATCCTTTCGGCGCTGCTGACCGTGCCATGCTGCTCAACTGACCGCCTGCATAGCTCGCGGCCTTAGTCTTCGGCATTCAGTGACGACCTGATCGTACGGCCAGTAGGAAGGTGTCCTTCCAGCGCGTGCACGCTTCTGACGCAATGCGCGTCACAAACTGCCTCGGATTGGCTGCTGGCACTCTCGAGGCTATGCCTACACAGCCTCGCGCGCATGGGCAGTCAAGAGGGACCATGCACCTTCTCAGGACAGCGCCGGTGCCTCTCTCTTGGACCGGCAAACGTGGTGGTCTCGTGTCACCGATGTGGGACCAGTGTGCGGCATCGCGCCATCGACAGCTCTGAACTGCGCCTCACCACTGACCGGGAAGGCCGCCAAGTGGGTCATCACCGGTCGCACATTGTGGCAGCAGTCAGCAGCGCATGTCTGATAGCTAGAGCAGCAGCGTCAGGGTCGCAGGGTCGGATCGTGTCAAGCCTCTCGCCCGGCCGGCCGTGTGCAGACGTCGGCCTGTCTGCTGTCTGGAGTGATCTGTCGGCGGTCAGTACGACCGATCAGGTCGGAGTTTTCTGATGATTGGAGGGTCTATCTGTATGTACTCCTCGAGATCTCTCCAAATCTGCCCTCTAATCAACGTGTAATCATTCGGGAAGTCGGTGCTAATAGAGACTAATAGAGCCGGGGCCCCGTTTCCGCACTGCTGCGCGGCGCACGGTGCCTCCGGGGGCCCCCGCCTCCCCCCAGAGCACACGACACTACAGCCCACACCGCTCCAGCTCCCGTCTCGCGCTCTCCATCACCCTCGCCACCTCCTCGTCGGTCGGCCGCTCGCTCCACTGCCTCCGCTCGTGCCTCGCCGCATTGTACCAGCGGCGGAGGGAGTGCGCCAAGCCGCAGAGCGGGCCGGCGCGGCGCGGGACGAGGGCGTTGATCTTCTCCTCCTCGCTGAGGCCCTTTGGCAGGGGCGCGCCCCGCCGCTCCTGGTACCTCCGCTCGAGTCGCGCCATCAGCGAGAGATACGCCTAACCTCGGCCAGCCTCCCGCGTCATCTCGAACCATCTCGGGGTTCGAGGCTGCGGCGAGAGAGGTGTGAAGAGGAGGGGCGGGTGAAGAGGAGGGGTCGGTGAAGAGGAGGGGTGTGAAGAGGAGGGGA